TAATCTGATCTCATTATCAACATTCTTGATGCCAAGTGATTCTTGTAGCTCTCTCTTGGTGAGTAAAGTGTGCTTTTTTCTCCTGCCATTTCCATCAGCTTGAAATGATTGATCTTGAAAACAGGTTCTCTTTTTCCAACAATGGGATCAATGAGGTCATTCTCTCTCTTTGTCTTCAAATCTGCCTCTGCCTCTGTTGAGCTACTGGCCTCAACAGCTCAACTTCGCAGTATGGTACGCAAAGACAGGTTACGGAATATCTTGTGAGGTATTTGACAAGGTTCCAGAACAGATCAAGTCATTTCTGACGTTTCACTTCTACTTCACCGCCGGAAGGATTCTCTTTGAGATGGGCGGAATTCAGAGTCAATTGTGACACGCCATTGTTCAAACCAATATGTGCACAATTTGGAATTTCATCAGGAGCAGAATTCCAGTTACAGACTTCCGCTTCAGAGAATGTGATAATCACGGTGTCTGATCTGCTTTCGTTTATGTCACAAATCTTGGACCATCAGCAACTTCAAACTCTTATCGTCGTTATAACAAGTTCGGCGATGACGGTGGAAAAGCCATCACAGGCAATCTGATCTACTTGACAACGAATGACAACGGTAGGGTTGAGAGACAATTTGACTTCTTCATGGCAGACAAGTCAGAAGGTCTGACGCAAGCTGGGATGGCGAAACTGAATCAGTCAATTGAGGCATTCGTTTATTGCATTCTTGGTGCACAAGCAAATGTCTGATGATCAATCTTGAGTTCATCAAGAAGCAGTAAGGGAGCTCAACGTGAGTTCCTCTTCTTGGTTGAGGATGTAATCAGAAAGTCAGACAAAATCAGTGAATTTGGAGGCGAAATCAGTTGGAGTAAGGCACATAATGGGAGCTTATCAAAGATCAACAGACTGGCCTCTCACCCGTCAAATTCAATTAGCAAGACTTCAACTGAAGTTCAGGTGAAGTCAACATCAAGGTTAGATGGAAAGTGAAGCACGAGCGACAGAGAGACAAATCATGATATGGTGAAGGTCGGATTGATTTCAGCTGGAATGGTCTCAGCCTTCTTGATTCATCGATTCTTCCTCTGAAATCACTCGACCATAACTACAGCAACTCCCATTATCAGAAGCCATGCATTTTGACCGAGGAAGCTGATCACTGATCTAGCAGCTCTGAATACGAAGCATGAGGCAAAAGGACATATCCCTTGTAAGGAAGAGACCTGAGAGAATTCCCGCAATCTGACTTCCAAGAGTAAGACCTTTGGCAACAGACTGAAGGCTTTGTGTCACTAAACTAACAATAACTCCGATCGTTGTGCCAACTGCCAGGACAACAGCTGAAACTGTGAAGCCATACTTCTTGAGGATGTTTCTTACTCTCACTCTCTGTGAAGTACCTTCTTCAAGTTCTTCTCTATCATTCTCAAGGGCAACATTCCACTCTATTACCTTTTCTCTTATAGCTTGGTCTTCATTCTCATCCTCGGCAATCTCCCGATCCTCCTGAATAGACTTCTGCAGCTCTTCAATTTCTGTATCCTTCTGTGTAATCAATCTCTCTTGCTCCGGGCCAAGTGAGGTTTTAAATTGTTTCAGGAGTGATCGATTCAACCTTTTTTTTTTTTTAACACCTTTCTTCACCATACAAGGGATGTCCTCTTGCCCTGACCAAATATCTTTACCTGCCACCGTCCCCTTTTACTATAAGAAACTTTGAGTTCCAAAGCCTTTGCCTCAGGATAATTTTGGTAAGGGAGTCCCATGCCTTCTAATTCAAAGTTAGTATCACCTTCAATGAAAGATGTTTCGGCGGTTTTTGACCCTTTCTCTTTTCCCCTGTTCATTGTTGTCATTGGAATTTCTTCATCTGATGGCGCTGGAGTTGAATTATTACATAAAAGGTATGCTTGAAAATTGTTTCAATAGAGGATCAGTATCTTCAAAATCATCCATTTGAAATAAATTATTAATTAATTAAATGGAAGTCAGTGAGAAAAGCAAAATTTTGAAAAAAGAACGCATCAAGGCTGATCGCGTAATTCACAGAGTGACACTTAACCCCAATAGGGCATCTCTCTGTGAAACACAATGTTCCAGTTCCAAACCTTGATGACGAAGTTGTCCTTGTGCCTGGATACGGAATACGGATACGGAGTGGTCATGCAGACAATTATATCGTGAACAACGACGCACGAGCGCCTGTTGACAGGTTGACTGTGAAATTTGTAGGAGAAATCGTGCAAGACACCAATGGCTACGATCTCTTCAAGCTCTATGAAAACTTCTCCTCGACTGAGAATGAGAGAGCAAGCATGCTCAGAGAAGTTATTTAGTCTGTTGATCTTTCGAAGATCAGATGCAATGCTGGAGATAGGAAATCAGGAGTTGACAAGGAGAATAAGCTCAGTGATGTTCATGAGAATAAATATAGGATTCCATTGGATCATGAGATTCTGAAGTATCAGGGAGTCTTCTTCCCACAAGCTCTCTATAATGAGCTTGTTTTTGAACTCAGACTAGCACCTGCCAGCAATTTTGGGATAAGATCTGACAACGCACAGCTTGCCTATGAATTTACAAACATCCAGCTTGAGTCTGAAGTAATTCACAGTCAAGAACTTCCTGATGAACAAGATCTTACTACATATACGTAACAGCACCTCATTCATCTCAAGACAATCATTATCGTGAAAGCGACTGACATGATAATCAATGAAAGCTTAAGTGTTCCGTGGGGGTCAATGAAGGGTCTTCTATTCTACAAGCTATATGTCGCTGGTGCGAGAGACAGTGAGAACACATTCAAACTTGACATCACTGAATTGAATGTGGTTGTGAGTAGAATTCCGAATAAGGTTTACAGCCAAGGAAAGAAGACAAAAGATATGTGGGAAGAGGTCTTCAGAAGATTTGGTAAAGAAACAGCGCAATGAATGCAACAGACTTTTATGCCGGAGACAGATTCAGTCTCTTCATCAATCTCAGGAGTATGAGAGACAATGATCTTCATGGAAGTGGATTGAAATTGGTAAATACGAAAGAACGAGTTCAGCTCGCAATTAACAGAAAAACATCAGGTTCAGGAAATGTGAAATGACACATCTTCATCCTTTCAGATGCCCAACTCAACATCAGCAATAGAGAGCTTGAAAATCTCAAGAAAACATATGATAAGCAGCCACGGGCATGAAATCCTTTCATGCGCGTGAGAAAAGGAGCGGGAAATTGGGAAAATTGGGAAAATTGGGAAAATTGGGAAATTGGCAGGAGGCCTACTGGTCAAAATGTTGCTGGCTCATTCTTAAGTCGCGTAATTCAACGCCGCAATACTTGATAGAGAGAGATATAGATTTACATCTGGTTATAGAATACTTGAAAAAAAAAATGCAGATATTTTACGATCAAAGCAAGCAAATACACATAGATATCTGGAGAATATTCTGAAATTGTTATCCAGCAGACAGCAGAAACAACGCGCTTGAATGATTCCTACGAAAAGTCTTCCGGTCACGCTACAGATGTTAGTTGGGTGGAGTTTAGCATGGAAATATTTGATGGCGGTAAGTGAGAACGACAACACTATTTTAGCTTTATTTTCGGAATAGTAGCACAGCTCTTGAATTTGATGGAGCTGTTGATATTCCATCTCAAATGATAGGGCAGAATTTCTCGTCTGTAAAGCCGAAGTTGTCGCACACGTGAGCTGGTTTATCAGCCAACACGCTACATGTGACTTCATAATCTCCTAACATGAGGGAAATGATAATAAATAATCAAACTATAGACTAATCAATGTTTTCTGCCATGTGAAGGCTATATTCGCCTACATGCATCTCTCCAAACATGAAATTTTGCACTCCTAAAAAAAATCTTGAAAGTTGTTAACATTTGCGACAGTTGGCCGAGGGTATCTTTCGGGAAATGTTCTTCACTTTTACCCACATTTGTAGCTTTCTTGATCAATCATCTTGTATAATGAGCTTTATAACATAGCTTGTAAATTTGTGTAATCAAATTCAATTGCGCGAGCGTGCTTCATATTCCTATTGTGCACGCTCATGACGTCAGCAAACAAATCCCTCGAGAAAAAAAAATTTTCCATCGGGTTGAAAATGTTATAAAACAATTGGTTCATACGTCAGCTGTGCGTTCATCGAGATATGAAGCACTTGGGAAGTTTGGAGAGCACTCAAGAAGCTAGAGTTGCTCGAGGCGTAGCCGAGACAACTCTTACGCATCTTTCGTAAGGGCCGCCCCAACACTCAGGGTCTTAAAATAACTGAGGAGTATGTGCTGCCTTTGTAATTGTACTAGCAAATGGTTAGACATTCAAGTCTTCTCGGATAAGGACTATAAACCGTAGGCCCCGTCTCCTGCATCTTCAGTGTTACATGGTCAGCAGGGGACGTTAAAGAACCCACACACTTGTCGAAAAGAGTAGGGGGCGTAGTTCCCGGTGTGGTGGTCTATCTGTTGTTTCATTGTACATTTCATGCATGGGCTGGGTGGGTGAGTGAGATCAAATATGGACTGATAGCGGCAGCCAGAGGCGCCTTTACAAGCTGACGTTCGATCTCACTCAATTAGAATTGTAAACCGCCTTGAGACAGTATGTGATATGTGCGGTATATAAACACACATTCATTCACATTCATTCATTCATTCATTCTTTCGTGCTCTCCAAACTTCCCACGTGCTTCATATCTCGATGAACGCACGCTGACCTACGAGCCAATTGTTAAATAAAATGTAGGTTTATTCGCTCAAATGAGCGCTTAGAACCAGTATTGTGTGGCAGGTGTAGTTGAGAGAAGCTTGTCAAAACCACAGATTTTAAAAGGCATCCTGGACAAAAATACGGCAGTACCCAAAGATTTTCTTGATGGTTTTCAGAGACAAAGTGATGGATTATAAAGGGAAGTTAAAATTAGAGCTGGAGCTTTCTGACAAGGGGAGATATTTGACCTCAAAGTAATCGAATATTTATGGAATCGAAAACTCTAAAACAGTCATTTATTTGCCTCTGTTGATCGACAAGCCATCGATCAAATTGACTGACACTTGCATCGTAAAATCATTAAGGATGTAACAATAAGTATGTAAAACCCTTTAAGTAATCGGTTGAATACCATCACAGTAAGAGCTTCATACATTTTACCTAATTTGAAGCGATTTCCTCAGGGAAGGCCAAGAAAAACAGGGGGGTGGTCTATCTCCCCCAGAAATAACGAAAACAGAAACCAGTTTGTCTGTTTGAGTTTTGGGGTATACCCTATAAACTAGCTAAGTTTCACTGAAATCGGTGAGATGGTATGTGCTCTCCTGGACACACTCTTAAGTACACATGACCCAAAATGTAGCCAATAGAAATTTTCATATTTACTTCCAAAGCTCATTCAAACAGAGCTACGAAAAACCACTTCATTACCTTTTATAAAAATGTTCCTCACTATCTGACTTCTGCATTTTTTCTACAATGTATCTCTGAATTAACCATAGTCTAACCTTGATTCAAATTCATTCTACAGTGTACATCCTCCTGATACATACCATATTCTGGATCGTTTAATTGAATTGAAAACTGTGTGAAGCCATAATATCTGAAAACAATTGAACCAACAAATTGCTACAAGTTCATTATTTATTGAAACAAGTATAACAGTATAACCGATCAAAAGTTCCAGCTTCTTCAATTGAGTGTTCACCAACATCACTTGGAAACTTACTGTGTAATTGGACAATTTCACAACCTGGCAAGTTCTTATATTTATAAAGACACAAATAACGGTTGACTAACTCATTCACAAGACTAATGACCACCACAATTGTTAAAACAGATATTTTGAATATGGCATATTAGAATATGGGACATTATGCATGGAACTGTGATAGTCCATTTTACTGACTTTTCACACCTAAAATTTGTCTCTTATCATATAGAAAATAATAACACTTTAACTACAATTCTTCTTTGGTAGAAAACACTTTTTAATGGCATTGTTTTACCATTGCTTTGCTACTTGAACAAACACCTTTGTAAATTATTTTCCTTCCCCAAAACACCTCCAAGAGCCCCCCCCCCAAATATTGACCTGTGAAAATTTCAAGTCCACTCAGTTTCTCAGTAACACCTCTGATAAATAATTAACAGTCCCTTATCATAACTTAGTTCAGTGCTCTGCATATCAAAAACTTTATTGTACCTCCAGGAATCTTCAGGTTTGGTATTTGCTGTCCATAGGTCAATGGGATCCATGTCTGAGTCTGAAAAATACAATAAAACCACAAAATACCAAGTTAACCAGGGTCAGAGTTGACATGTAGGCTCCATGGAAGACCCAGTCTTGGTATATGTTACCACCCCTTTTATACAATTCCTACCCAAAGAGGTCACCCATAAAGTGCTCATGGACTTGCTTGCTCTTGTCCAGATGTACTTCATTTTTATATTAAACTCATACATGCATCTTATTTATACTAGAAGGAACCATTTATACAACTATGTTTCTTGAAATCTGTTTGAAATACAATGTCATTGAAAAGAACTTATCTTCAACATACATCATGCTCTGAACACTAGAAAAAACTCAGCCTTCATTGGTCAGGTACATCCTTGTTCCATTTTGGTATTTTACTATTTAATAACCTCTTTTGTGTTTCTCTGCTATCCCAATTACTTTAGAGTTTTAATGTAATCAATCAAAATATTCAACAACTCAAAACACAAATCTTACCACAAAATATGCATTTTTTACAGGGACTATTCTGCATGGGCATGCAACAGTAACCTAAGATTGCTGTATAGCTCTAACCTTGAACACAGAGATTTAACCTGATGGATTATAAAAAGAGCAGCCAGTCTTATTCTTTATTAATGACACGCTAAATTGCAAAAACAAGTCAACATACCATCTACAGAATGCAATTCAAGGCTACGGTCCCATGCTCCCACAATGTTATATTTGACATGACCCTTCGAATTTAGCACCTCCCCTACAATGCAATGGTGCTAACACTGATGAGTGTGAATGAGCAGATATTCTCATTTTCAAAAGGTTATAAAAATATTATGGCCAGTGAACCAAAAGAAAACATTTCTGAAGAAAGGTTTGAGGTGGCCAGGGGTTGTTCTAGACAGTACCAAAAAGATTGTTTAACTTACATGGACTAAATAAAGCATTAAGAGGTAACTTAAACAGCAACAACCATAACCCGTTATGTCAATCTAACAAAGAAGTACATATTCTGTGATGGCCTTATGACCTTAAAATCCAAATGACAAGAAAACAAAACAAAGGAACAAATATCAACACTGACCAAAATAAATACAAACAGAATCTAGTGGAAATATATGCTGGGCAATCATTCGAAACATATTAGAAAACTTAATTGATTTTAAAACTATCTGCATGCAGCCAATTTATACAAAACAGGATCAAAGCATCTTTTCCATTATTTCTTTATGTTACAAAAGTAGAATTCACCCCTGAAACTTTTCATACAGGTGTTCTCAAACACCATCATTAAAAAATGTTGCTTCATATTGTTGGTATGTGGCAGACTGGAAGATAACAATTTCTCATAGACGTAATTTGGTGTTCATCTATTGAAGATTTTGTCATAATAAAATAACAGATACGATAAATGGCTAGGTAAAGAAATAACAACAGAGGACAAATTTGACAGGGAGCATCTAAATAATGAGCATCTAAAACAATATGCAGGCATTGTTTTGAACCTTAAAAAGATCATTCAGAAGATCCACAAAGCAGTTTAGCCAAGATTTTGTTTGATAGGGGCAATTTTTCCAGATAACCAAACTGACCACAAAAGGGATTGGTATAAATATAGACTCAGTAGACACTCCTCTTCAACTGCTTATCATTCAAAAACTGCCACAGTGTCCAGTCCTCAGTGCTGGACTACTTTTATTAAGTGCCATTCATCACTGTGTACATAGGTTGTCTTTTCCAGTGGGTAAATTCCATTACACTTGAGAGATATCATTGCAGTTTTACCTAAACATTAGTGCAGGTCACTGCTTTAACACAGAATGTGGCATCATCTACAAATAGATCATTTCTTTTCTCCCAGCTCAAAGGGAGATCACCAGTGAATAGAAGGAAGAGGACAAGACCTTAATTGGAGCCCTGGGAAACACACCATAGCTTAATATATGCAGCAGATATAGTGCCTCCAAGCATCATACCCAACATGTTGTGATCCACACCCTGAACCAGCTCCATGACTCATGCAACCCTTTCCACACAAAAGGGATTCAGTCATAAAATATCTTGGAAATGTAGCTAATTTAGCCCGGAACTTCATTTTTAAATAAGAGAAAGTTGGTATTTATTGAATCCCTAACATTGTTGTAGGTGTGTTACCACTGGAAAAAAGATCACTTTGTATAATGTGAATACAAGGTGGTAAGTGGATTTCTAAGATTACTAGAAAGAGTACACTATCATCAATTCTGGCTCTATTTAGGAATATAGAAAAGTACAAGTTGGTTATTTGACCTGAATATTCAATCTCATTGCCCAATCATTATGGGACACTACAAAAATGAGGCAAAATCATTCATCATTCCATTTGACAAAGGTGAGGGGATCATTGCGCTAAGTACTTTCCTGTAGTAGAAAAGTGTGACAAAACCTGACAGAGCAAGACAGAACAATGTGCAATAACAACGACTAAGCATAATCTGAAAAAAGATTGCTATAGGATCCTTTGTTGTTGTAGTAACATGAAAGTATTCTTATAATGTGTCGCATGGGATAGCAATTAAATCTCATTTTTGCTTTCCTGCTCAACATTCTTGCAACACATTTATTTAGGGTAAGATTATGCCTTAGTTCAGCAATATTTATGTACGTTCCATACTGGTTGTGTTTGTGTTATAATTAGGTTATGTCATCAGAACTTCTTGCTATCCTCTGTATTCTCCTTCAAGTGTATTAGTTATAGTTACCTTTATGTATACAGTTCAGTTGAGTGTGCCTCACTTACTTCACAGCAGCAGTCTTGTAACCTACTGCATGTAGCCCAAGCTTTAAAACAGGTTGACCCCAACCGACCCTTCCCTGATTTTTTACTACACTGTAATACTACAATAAGGTGTAGAAATTAGAACCATATCTACAATCCTGTATCCCTTGTGTATCCCTTTTGTTCAAGAGTCATGACCACGATGCAGCATTGAAATTCCCCAAATGGCAGTAAATACACATTAATTCTCAAACTCTACATGTTTGCATTTAAGGATACAGCTCTACTTTGTGCTATACCAATACCTGAAAGCTGTTTGAAGCTCTCTTGGACTTCCCTCACAGGTTGAAAATGTAGTCTACACTGCTCTTGCGTTGAGTGATTTGTCACCACAACATCTCCTTCCTATGAAATCCAATAAAAGGCCACTTTAATCTATTTATCTGTAAGAGTTTGAGGTACCATCAAGTTTTTTCCTGGTTGTAGCACAAGTGAAGACCCCTGAAAACTAAGACCCAAAACCAGAAAACAGAGACCTAAAAACAACTCCTTTATGATCTTGAGACAAGAAGTTCGGGTCACACTTTATGGCTCCACCAAAAAAAAAAGAAACAGTGAAAAGCTTGATAACTTCTCTGTTAGCAACAGTTTAACCATTTATCAGTTAAACAAAAGCAAAATTGCTAACAATTACATAAAATGCTACACTGGTGTACACTTTATTTTCTTTAACTTTCCTCTTTGTTGCTTTCCTCATTTATTTTAAAAAAAAAGTACTGCCTTTCGACATTTTTAACTGCTGCCCCCAGCTGTTCTTGTTCTAAATGAAGATCAGAGCTGGTGATGTAAACTTTTGACCTGGCTGATGCCAGTCGGCATTACAGCATTGTTCTTCTTTCATACAAAAGCTGGTCTAGCTGCTCTTCAAAGCAGCCAGTCTAACATGACAAACGGCACAATTTTTTGTCTTTTCAGTGTTGTGTGAAGGAAGGTTTCCTGCCTCTCATTGCTTGTGTAATGTCTGCACCACTCTAGTTGGCAAAGCTTACAGGCAGAGAGCATGTGGTGGCTTCTGTGCTGCAGGACACTCTGAAGTTTGAATGCAGTAAGTTCCACTTCAAAAAGCACATCAGCCAAGGAAGCTTTGGAGAGTTTTTCTTCTCCAACTGCATTCCGAATTACACAATTCTTAAAGGCACTTAGTTCACAAGAAGTGGGGGGCAAATGACAGATGAGTTTGATCACATCCTTCATCACTATCCAAAATTAAAGAAAATAAGGGGATCTTTGTTTTAGGTCTGAGTTCTTCAGTTGTTTGTTTTTGGGTTTGTGTTTTTGGGTTCTTTTTTTTAAACCACTGTTTAATTGCATACTGTACTACTAAAAAGATTAAAACTGCAGCTAGATATTTCCAGTGAGAAACTACATAACAAGATCCTAAAAAACAAAGAAAATAAAGGGGTATTCATTTTCAAGTCTTTGTTTTCTGGTCTTCAATTTCAGGTCTTAGGTCTTAGGTCTTAGGTCTCAGCTTTTTGTGGTCTTTGTTTTCGGTACAACTATTTTTTCCCCTTAGTCAACCAATATGAAATGCTTGTTGCATAGTTAATCATCAATCGAAAAAGGTACTCTTCAATGCCACTAGTAACTCGGTAAAAGTTAACTTTGATAGGCTATTTCAAAAATGAATATAGATGGTTTGTTTAGTTTGGTTAGGTTTCACAAAGTACAGGAAGCAATGGGCATATTCAATCTCACTGTTGAATCATAATGGGTCCTACAGTAGATAAAAATTAGGTAATTATCCTTAGCACTAATTTTATTTGACAAATATCATTTCAGTAGTATTCTGCAAGGATCTCTTAATTTCATTTCTTAACTGCAGTGCAAATATATGAATTTCATATATCTAAAATCATCATTCATCACTTGGATGGTTTATTTGGACCCAACACATTGACCAGCCCCCAATTAGCTCGTTAGCTCAGTTGGTAGAGTGCTGCACCAGTATTGCAGAGGTCCTGGGTTCAAATCCTGTACGGGCCTGAATTTCTTTTTTTCAGGTCCTATTTTCAACTACTCATTTCAATAGCGTTCTTAGCTGCAAGGATCTCTTAGTGTCATTTCTTCACCACAATACAAATATATGAATTTTATACATCTAAAATCATCAAATATATGTTATTTAAACTTAGACATTATTGGATGAGGAGCCTTCACACTATAATTGATGCTTTTTTGAAAAACATGGAAATGAAGAACCAAGTTGGCTTAGCCCAGACCATTTTTACACACTTTTCCTGTCCAAGTCAACAACATGACCCAGAAACATTGGAAAGGCTAAAACCACAGAAAACTGGCCATGGTCACTACTTGTTTTAAGAGTTTTTTTGGGATATATAGTTTGCTCTTGTGCCCTATCCATGTAGCTCAGTCTTGCTAACTAAACAGCTTACTGTATTTTGTTTCATTAAATTTCCTTTTGCACTAAAATTGTAGTAAGCTGACTAAAGCAACTTATCACTTTAGATCTAGTTTTCAAGGTTTCTTTAGCAAGATTGTAACCATTAGTTAACACTGTTTGTCACTGACAATACATGGATATTCACATGTCAATGGATATTCACATGTTAATGGATATTCACATGTAATGAACTCAGTTTGCTTTCAAAGTGTAATAACAGGACTTTCTGTTCTGTGAATATGACTCCATTTCTTTCGTTAGTGCACAATATTGCCTTGCCTTTGGCAAATCACTCTGAAGTAAACAAGCAAACTCACCTGATCTACATAAATACTGCCAACAAGGATGTTGTGAATTGTTGTGATTGGCTTCTGCCATGTAAAATGATGACCATCTGTTTTAAACTTCACGTGACACAATCCAGTTGGAATAACCTTCAAAAACTGTGAAGGTAGGCATATGTCATCCATATGATATATTCCAACACAACTGTATAAGTATCTTTTATTAACAATTATATTAGAACTTTATGATTTATTTTGAATATGCAAAGTCACATACATAATTCAAATGATATATACATATAAATATATGTATATTTTCCTACAGGTTTCAACTGGCCACCATTGTTTCCATGTTCATAGGTTATTCTATTGTCTGGCATTGTATAAGCATAGAGATCTTGTTTATGTGCCCCCAATACTTATCATTTCTGTTACTTTTACAAGTGGTGAAAGCACTGGGCTAAAAATTTGAGAAATAATGTGTAATACCTGTCCTCTAAATTTAGTATCAAGTTTATATTCCTGCCAGAAAATCCAGTGATCAGATTCTGCATGTAGGGCTGAGATAGGAGGATGATGTGATACCTATGCATAAACAGATTTCAAAAGTGAATCTAATTAGATAAAACCACCATAATCAGTGGTAGTACACTAACTTGTCTTCTAAATAAAAACTAATTTGGTACTCTATTTCAGGAAAGAGACATATGTTATTTGCCAGCTGGGAGGTCCGTATGGTGAAAAACTGTGACATAGGTCTTGAAAATACTGCCCGAGGCCATAGGCCAAGGGCAGTATTTCAAGACTGAGGTCACGGTTTTTCACCATACGGACCAACCCTTGGCCAGTAAATAACATATATATTTTTTTAACTTGACGAAATTATTTCTGAAAGAACCCAAATGATTTAGGGCTGTAAATACGGCAAGATCTTTCATAAACTGAACAATTTATGAGTGAGTAAACGGTAGTTAAAATAGAGGTGATGCAAATTAAAGAGAGATGCCTCACCGAAACATTTTCATTTCCCTAACAATAACGGTGATTTAAAAGTCTTCCAAACAAACTTTGAAACATTATTTTTACAAGTATCTGTCACAATCTGACACCTGTCAATTAGGGAACATGTAAGAAAAAAAAGAGCAAGAACATTTGAAAAACAATGGAACTAGTTTGGCAAGGACTGTCATGACAATTTTTTCTTCAAAAATAGTCAATGATCTAACAGAAAGTATTATTCCCTCTCATCGACGATTCATTCATTTACAAAGATTTACCTCTGTTCATTAATAAAACGGCGAGGAAAGTAATTGTGAGTAAATGCAAATTTTTTATTTTGAAGTTGTGAGAGTTTGTTCATTTGTTTGCTGCAATGGCGTGTAAATCTGGTCTTTCCTCCACAAAAACTAAATTTGAATGGCACACCACCAAAACACACAGGGATTTAATGCAGCCTTTTCTCATTAAATTCCTTCAGTTTCTATTGTGCAATTTACAGTACAAATGTCCAAATTGAACGGACTTGGAAAGACTCACCAAGAGTGTATATTTGTTGTAGAACTTAAATTAAAACTTTGCTGAGAAAATTCAGATATTAGATGAATTAAAGTTCCATTGTTCAGTTTACCTGTAACCAAATACCTCACGTTTTAACTTTCT